CGATGCGGGCGGGCGGAGGGCGGAGCCACCATTTCGGGGGGCCGGGAGGGTGGGCAAGTCATTTCGCCGGGCCGGGACTGTGTGGGGGGGGCGACGCGGGTGCCCAAAGGCCGGAGCCGCCACTCGCCGGTCCTGGAGTGTGTGAGGGGGAGCAAGGCGATCGCCCGAAGGCCGGTCGCCAGGCCGGGATTGCGGGCGGAGGGCAAGGCGGGCGAGTGGAGGCTGCCGCCGTCGCCCATGTTTGAGTGGGCGCTGGGGAAGGCAGCTCACCGAATCAATAGTGCCCTCGTAATCCTCTTCATCGAGCAAAATGAAAATGGCGTCCAGTGAGGTACACAGTCGCAGCAGTTGTGGTGTGGGCGGGACCCAGGCTTTGCCTTCTGATTGGTGGCGATATATGCTGAGGAGCAGTTCCATCAGCCATACACTAAGGGAGTGCATTTTAGGATTAGAACTTTGGCACCCACTACTCAAATATAATAAGGGAGAGATGGGGCAGATCTGATGAATGATGAATTACACTGGGCAGGGCTTAGACCCTCATCCTATGGCTTCTGTGATTTTGCCAAGTGATGCTCAGGCTGCAAGTAAAATAATATTTCCAGAGCAAAAAGCTTATTTGTCTCTAGCAGAGCTGACGCAGCACTAATCAGGGGACGAGTTGTAATGCAGGAGTCGTCCAGTTCAAATCATACCTCTGCCATAAGCCACTCTTAGGCAAGCCACTCTGCTTCAGGCTCAGCCCTTTCATCTGCAATACGGGGGAGAATAAAAATGGCCTACCTTACATGGCTGTTTTAAGCATCAGAAAAGAGAACTAGCACGAAGTACTTTAAACAATGAAAGCACCATACAATGAACAAGGAAAGAACCATTCAAATGCTTCAGGCATGCAATGCATTGCAGACAGAACTCTCTTAGAGGAGGCGTTCCTGTGAAGAAAGTCTCGTCTAAGAGACTGCTTGCAGCACATATAGCTTACCTGCATTAAAAATGTTTTTTGGGCAGCAATTGGTTTTAACCAGTTAAAGAAGTTAAATGCAGTAGCTGCTTAAAAAAATAATAATTGCTGAGACACTTAGGAAACTAACTTCCACACTCCATTGCCAGTTTTTGCACAATTCTTCCATGGAAGATACTGTACAAACTTTAACCACTGGTCAAACAAATCCCAGTGGTTCTGCATGTATGGAATCTGGCACTGGGCAGCCATGTAGCACTGTTTATTGGCATAAGGCTTCCAGTGAGAAAATCCACTCTGTCTATTTTTTTTAAAGCTGCTGTTAGGACTGGACTCTACTTGGTGTCTATACCCAATGAAGCTGATGGGCTGCAGATGAAAGACAGACAAAACATACTTCTTCACCAAGTATTCTTTATAAAAACTCCTGTAACCTTCTTCATACTTATGGAACTCACTGCCACAAGATGTGGCAAGTAGTTAGCTCAGAAGCCATTAGAACAAGGGCCTCCAACATTTTTGAGGCTGTGGGCACATTAGGTATTCTAACACAGCATGGTGGCCACAACAACAAAATGGCTGACGCACGATGGTTGCCTCAGGGGGTGGAACCATCCACAAAATGATTGCCACAGCTTAACTTTAGTAACACAGTGCAGATCCTTGTGTGATGGTGGCAGCTGTTGCCAAGGCAACATTGTAAAAACAAATCTGCATAGCCAATCAAATCTACAGTAGCCAATCGGAAGCCTTGCTGGGCAAAAGCCTTAACTGGTCCTTTACACTTAACGGGCACCAGAAAAGGTTGTGGGCACCAGGCTGGGGACCTCTGCATTAGACTAACCCTTATTTTTTAGCCCACCCTTCCTCCAAGGAGCACAGGGCAACTGACATGGGTCTTTGTTCCCTTATTTGCTCCTTATAACAACCCTGTAGAATCAGAATGAGTGTCTAGTCTAAAATTACCCAGCGTGGAACTGACAGGTTCCAATCCAAAACACTACACAAAAAAGGCACTCAGTGTTAGCAGATTAGTCCTTTACCAACTTTGAGAGAAGATTTACTGTGTGTGGAACCTCCACATCCAAAGGCATTATACCAAATGCTAGACACAAGAAAATATTAGTCTTCGTGTTTGTGAGGTTGGCATCAGGCACATTCAAACAATATTCAGCTAGAACTCAACAGCGAAACATCCAAACCCATATCCGAACTAACAACATAGCAAGAATTAGGAATGGAAGATTTCTCAGCATCTGGCTTTCTTAAGGACACATCTTCTCTTTCTGCAGCAGCCTGGACAGGCTGTTCCTCAGTTTATGCAGTGACTGCAATTTGAAGGCACCCAGAAGAGCAAGAGGGGCTTAACCCCTTCCCCCTAGTCCATTTATCCACCCACAGAACTCTCCACCAAACTGCTTTTATCCTGGCTACAGAAAAGTTCCACCTTCAGACTGCAAATCTAGCAGGTGCACGGCAAATGGGTTTTAATTTTGTGCACAAAAAAAAGCACAGTTGGACCTTCAGTCAAGGACACCAACACATTTTCATAAGGCACCCTGGGTGGAAAATGGCAGTTTTAAACAGTTTTGAATGTAAGGAAGTGAAAGCTGGCCAGTTGTTGCAGCTGAAATGGCAAGAGGTGCTTATTCGGAAGGTGTTCTGTGCCCATCAGATTCCCATTTGTCAACCCAGTTACTGACAAACTTGTCCTCCAGCAGGGCACAGGCCTTCTAGTGGTCCCTCAATGCCACCGCAAAACCAGAGAAACTCAGGGGAATTTCAGACAGGTGCTTTCTCCCGGTAGGGAACCAATTCTCAACCGGGTGCTGGTCTGTCATTTCAGACAGAACCCGGTTGAGAATCGGTTCCCTACCGGGATGAAGTGGCATTTCACACACGGAAGCCTCTCTCCTCTCTTCCAATTAGGAACCGGGAGGGAAGCGTTTTACCTGTCAACCGCTTCCGAGGAGGCTCCCGTTCCCTCTCCCGGTTCCGATACGCTTCTTTCCCGCCTTTTTTCAGCCGCGCGGGCTTTTTTATTTTATTTTAACGTTCGGCTTATATCGATATATCGATATAACGCTATACCGATCCCATTGGAATACATTGGAATACTGGTATATCGATATATCGCTATAAGACGGACTTTTTAAAAAAAAAAAACCGTGGGGAAACAAAGCGGTGCGTGTGTGAAACGCCGAACCGCTTCTGAATCGGCTCCTTTCCGGTAGGGGCAAGCCGTGTGTGAAACGGCAGCCCTCTACCGGTTCATCTGCAAACGGAAGACTCCCGGCTTGAAACCGGGAGAAGACGGGTAATGTGAAATTCCCCTCAATTAACATTGATGAGCAACTACTTTTCTAGTGTATTCACCTAAGCAGCTTTCATATAAATCATTGGGGGGGGGGGG